GCTAGATCAAGGGGGGATTGAGGGGATCTGCCTCGGGTCTACTTAATTGCTTGTACACTACAATACAACGCTTTCGATATCCGAGTCTATGCGTTTTTACGGACACTTGTTCATCCCAATTACTTGCCTGCTTTGTGCCATGCCATCCCGTCACGGTGCCTGGTCTTGCCTCCTCGGTGACGACGACACTGAGCAACCCCGCCAAAAGCCTTGGCAACCACCCCACCATGCTTCCCCTCCATTGAGCAACAACCGCGGGGCACCTAGGTAACCTAAGCAGCAACACCGCATCACACGAGCGATCGAGATTCGGCGCGCAACAAACGCAACATACCACAACAAAACCATCTCGAGTGTATCGTGGAGCGGCGCATCGCTCACCCCATACCACCATGTTCAAGAAAGAGTCAGCCACCCCCCCGAAACCCCTCCTCCCCCAATCCCCCCTCCCCGCGCTTAACCAAAGCTAACCCTTTTCTCTGCTGCTGCTCCTCCTCCAAAACAGCCTCCACGGCTCCCCAAAACAAAAACTCAAATCCTCCATCCAGCGCCACATCCGCCAATCGATCCTGACCACCTACCCGCTGCTGACGCCACACATCGACGAGGTGCTGCCCAAGAAGTCGTCGCTCCTGCTGATCAAGCTGCCGGACCGCGTGTCGCTCTACGTCATCGACGGCCACCCGATCGTCTACCAGCAGGACAACAACCGCGTGCTGCTCCCCCACCTGCGCCTGGTGCACCGCTTCCCGCAGTGCTTCCCCACCGTGCGCATCGACCGCGGCGCCATCCGCTTCGTGCTGAGCGGCGCGACGCTCATGGCGCCCGGGCTGACGAGCGAGGGGGGCCGGTTGCCGATTCCGGTCGATCGGGATGCTCTTGCTGCTGCTGCTGCTGCGGCTGCGGCCGGTGGCGGTGGCGCGGGTGCGGCTACGGGTACGGAGAAGAAAGAGGAGGCCGAGACTAAGAAGGAGGGGGCAGAGGATGGTGAGGACGAGGATGACGAGGATGACGTGAAGGTGCCGAATGAGGGGCCGGATGAGGAGGGGCATTGGAGCCGGGAGCTAGAGAAGGGGGAGCCGGTTGTGGTGATGGCCGAGGGGAAGGAGGAGGCCGCTGCTGTGGGGTTTTTGCTCATGGGCACCAAGGAGGTCAAGGACAAGGGCAAGGGGCCGGTTATGGAGGATGCGCATTTCCTGGGGGATGGGCTCTGGCGGTTGAGCGTGGAGTAAGGTGTTTGCTTGGGTCTGAGCCTGGGAGCATGGGGTGTTACCCTACTACCCGTTGGAGACGGACAGCCTATTTCCATCGTTGAGCGAGCATGGTAGGGAAACGTATGTTTCTTCATCATTTATGAGCTGTAATCCAACCCAATCTTAAATACTGCCGTCTGGGTGAGGAGTGCCCAAACTGGCCACACCGACGGTAACACCGGCTCCTTTTTCAACGAGAGGACATGGCCCGTTGCTAAAAGCTGCGGCCAAAAATGAAGACATGCAAAAGTAATCGACAACGAGCGGATTCGAACCGCTGCGGCCGAAGCCATACGCTTTCGAGGCGTACCCATTAACCACTCTGGCACGTTGCCTTTCGACAGGGATGTTTTGTTTCGCACAAATGCCCTTGAACTACCTTCAGCATAACATCTAGGGTTAGGGCTGGCTGTGGTAGTAGCATCCCTGTCGGCGGGTTAATGATGACGCAATGTGATGGGGCCTACGCTTGGCGCCCAAGTGCAAGCGCCCAGGCTCGAGCCAGGCAATCCAGCCCCTCCTTCCGCTGCCCCCCACGGCATCGCTGTCGACCGTGTTGCTCTTGACTGCCACCGAAGCCCAACCACCCGGACAGTCTGACATAGAGTCTTCATAACAGTTCTCTCAACGCCTGCGCGGATCCTCAGTCTTGACGACAGACGATTGCAACCATGGCTGCGAGGGGCGTTTCGGTGCTCAAGTTTGTCGGCACCGTGTCGCTCGGTGTCCTGACGGTACGTTTTCGTCCATTGTGCGCTGCTCCCCCCCCCTTCCCCGCAGTGCATGATGCAGTCGGTCGACGATCGCATCCAGTAACCCCATTCTCGAAATTTTTGTACTAACCAAACCGTCCAGGGCCTTTCCTACACGCTCTCGTCGCTCACCATCCCCGCGCTCCTGACCCTCCCCTCGGCGAGCAGCGCCGCGCGCACCTTTGACGCCCTCACCACCAGCGCGGCGCGCCACCTCCGCCTGCTCTCGGCGGCCTCCTTTGCGACCTTTTCCCTCGCCTACGTCCTCTCCCCGTACCCGCTCCGCCACCCCTACCTGCTCTACGCCTCGGGCCTCGTCCTCGCCTCGCACTTGGCTGCGTCCGACCTGCTCGCGCCCTACCTGCTTGCGCTCGGCCCCGCCCCCGCCCGCTCGGCGTCCACTACTACGACGGCGGCGGCGGCGGCTGCCGCTGCGGCCAAGAAGGAGAAGCTAAAGGAGAAGGAGAGGCGCGCTGCGGCCCGGGCTCGGATGGAGGCGAGCTACGAGGTGCTCGGTAGCGGTGGGTCGGATGCGCTGAGTGAGGGGAGCACTGGGGAGGAGGTGGAGGCTGAGGAGGGGGATGTCAATGGGGAGGAGGTGAGGGCCGAGGTGGAGGTTTTCCTCAAGCAGCAGATAATCAGGGGCGCGTTGGCTGGGCTGGGGTTCATGCTTTCGGTTGTGGGGATCTGGGGCGATGGGGTGGCTCCGGTTTATGGACAGGCGGTTATCATTGAGGTTTGAGAGGGGTATCGGTTGGTTTGGGGGAGATGAAGGGAGCTTGCCGGACTTTTAAGCACACATGAGACGAGAGACGATGGGGTGTTACGGAGCTTATTCGGTTTAGTATGAGAGAAGTCTACTCCTCTCTATTTCATTTTGCAACACCAGCCGTTTTCTAGTGAGACTGTATCTAACAGAATAAACTGAAGTTGATCTTTTTGGCAGTTGGTTCAAGTTCCCCTTGGTGACGGGCATGGCCATGAAGCCTGTGGTTTGGAGGGAGGAGCTGCTCCGGACTCCATCCTCATCCATCTCCAAGCCTTCCTCCTCCCCTTCCCAGAATGACAACTGATAGCGATCTTAGTCTGGCAGCGGCTTCCACTTGACAGCTGCTCTAAATTTGCTTGCGGTGTCGCTGGATCTCTGCAGTTACCGCTTCACGACGAGGGTGATATGGCAAGAACAGTTTGTGTAGGTACGCTGGTACCATCAGTCTGCCGCAGTTCCCATTCCTTCACACCACCGGGATGGTTTGCAACAAACCATAATCACTCGTTTTGAATTGCCATATTCCCATTCAGCTTATTATTCTCACTCGTTTTACTCGGCAGCCCCAGGTCTCTGTTGCTCGAGGCCGGCAACGCCACGACGTCCGCAGACTGGGAATATTACACCCGGTGGCTATGGCCAGAGGAAAGTGGCGCCAAAAGCTCCGGAGAGCTCGCGATCGTGTCCTTGGCCGACAGGACTCGTCCCTTTCACAGGGAAATGAAACTCTGCCCACCTCCGGCCCCCCAATATTGCACGGCACCACACCAAGCAAGTCAGCAGTACTCCAGCTAGGGTCTAACAAACCGACACACTACTACCCGCCTCCCCGATTACAAGCCAACCTCCCCGACAGCCGCCATTCGCCAACCCCCCACATCACACTACCAGTCCCCTCCTCGGCACTATCCTCCAGCTCGACACCCATCAATAACAACAACAACAACAACAACCCACTAATCTCGTCGCCCAATTTCTCGCCGCACACCAGACGACAACAACAACAACAACCACCCTACCCGCCGCCCTCGACACCACAGACGACGACGACACACTCTCCCCTAACCCGACTCGCAACCCCGTCATCACCAAGCAAGACACAGATTGCCAACGGTAACGGATACGGAGATGGAGATGGCAATCCTCCCAACTGCTGCTCACCTTTGCCTCCCCCTTCCCGGCGTGTTTATGCCAAGTAGTGCTGCCGGGCCTGTATGGTGAGTCGGGGGAGTGAGGGTGGAGGCGAGTGTGGAGGTGAGGGTGGAGGTGAGGGTGTAGGTGAGGGTGGAGGCGAGGGTGAGGGTGAGGCTGAGGGTCAAGGTGGTGGGCAAGAAGGTGAGGGTGTGTCTCGGGCTCCTCCTGGTCGGGGTCGGTGGTGGATGAGGTTGTTGTCGTCGTTGTCGTCGTTGAGGGGTGTGGGTTTGCGGGGGTAGACGCCTGTGCTGTCGTCGGCTTTTGGGTAGGTTGAGCGGTTTTCTTTTCTTCTCTTTGGCTAGTTTGGAACTTGGGGATCGTTGATAGCGACAGGGGAGAGGGATATCGGGTGTGTGGGTATCGGGAGCTTGTGTAAGGAGGTGGGGATTGTGTTGGTTTTGGTGTGTGCTTAGGGAAAGGTTGAAGGAGATGGAGGAGCCACGGTGCTATTGACTTTTTGCCGCAGGGAATCCTCGGAGTGGTGGGCATTCACGAGTTTGTTTTAGTTTCCGAGAGACTTGTCATTGTTGTCGGGGTAGCTCTCTAGCGTTCATTATTGAAAACGGAAGTTTATCTCGATGAGCGGTTTAACTAGGCGTTGCCAACTCCCTTATCCCTACCCCTTGACCAAAGCCTCGTGGTTTTTCAAGGTGTGTGTGTACTTTTGTTGCAAGTTTGATTACTGTGGAAAGGGCGGTCCATTACCCCTATCGAGAAAAGATCTCAGGTAGACACAAATGGAAACACAGCCTGGAGAGGACTCGGCCAAAATTACTAGTTGGTGGACTGGATAAGCACTAGTCGTGCTAGAGGATGGAGGATGCAGGATGTAGAGGGGAAAGCAGTTGAGGGCTGGGATGGAGGGAATATCGGGTGTTGATTACTCATGGAGAATGTACAGCTTCTAGCTTCTACTCCGTTGGGATCATCAATACCTAGTCATCGTCGAGAGTAGGTCCTGGGGAAAATTGTTTTGGTGTGACCCCACAGCCTTAGCGACAATTTCCACTCTGCATCTCCATCAAATAACAAGGCAAGATGGCCGAGCGGTCTAAGGCGCTAGCTTCAGGAATCTGAATCTGCTAGTCCGAAAGGGCGTGGGTTCGAATCCCACTCTTGTCATAATCTTTTGCTGTTTCCAACTCGAATCTTTTTGCACGCCTTGTGTGTGTTGTCAACGGATATCTGCAGGGTCAAACTTTTTTTTGGTTGGTGCTTCGTTTCATAATGAGCCCGAACTTCGTATCTTGGACCTCGAGACGGGTATTGGGTATTGGGTATTGCGTAGATGGTTATTTTGGTGACACCCTCCACATCTCAGACCCAACAACTTGTTCGACAAATGACACTGTTTTATAGCTTCACAAGATTGGCAAAGGTTCAAAGCAGACTTAATTTATCCCATCACTACAAGTATAGTTCTTGGTTTTTGAAGGCAACCCCTACCGTTTATCGTGCAAGTACAACTTCAAAAAGATCTCCGAGGCCAGGGATCAGCAATCATTACTTTTTATTTGTACCCTGGCTATTGCTTCTGCCTGTCTTCGCTCATCTCTTCTCAACAAGCCGTTTGCCCCTGCTGCTATTGTGCTATGAGTTCCACAGCGGGCAATAGAAGCCGTGAGTCTCGGCGTGGCTCGAGGCTACCTACTAGTCAGTCACATCCCAATCTCGCGTGGTGTATATACGCTGAGCTCGTCCACCATGGTGATCAGAGCACGGGCAGTTTTAAGATATCCAATCTGGCCTGACTTCTGACATTCTTCTGACATTCGCTTGCGCGTGGCGAACCCTTGGCACATCGCCACAGGGTCACTGACTCGCCGGGTCCGAGCTGAGATCTGCTATATCACGCCCAGCCTCAGACAGCCTCGGACAGCCTGCAACTTCCAGCTCAAGCGGGCTTCGAGGATACTGGCTGTTCGTTGTGGTGCCAGGTACCATCTCAAGGAAACAAGGCTATCTTAGTTGGGAACTGCCGAGGACGCCCAACAGCCTGTCGCTCGTACCCCACCCCCCACCCCCCGACTTTGGTGAATCTCACTTACATGATGCGCTGGAGTCTTGTATCGTTGGTGCTGGCGTTGGCCGTCCCTGTACTGGGATATCACAAGCCGCGTCCACTCAATGCGCGCTATCGACGCCAAGCTCCGACTTCTGTCAAGAACCAGACACAGTCACCTTTCCTTAATGAGCGCTCAACAGGTAAGACCAGAGATGTCGCATATAAGCTAGGAGAAACACGGTTAACATGCTCTAGACTTCGCCGTCAACGGCTCGGCCATCCCGCTTGTTGACTTTGACGTTGGCGAGTCCTACGCTGGGCTGCTCCCGATCGGCAATGACACCAACAGTCAGCTGTACTTCTGGTTCTTCCCGTCGACCAACCCGGCCGCCCAGGAGAACAAGGAGATCTTGATCTACCTCACCGGTGGACCAGGGTGCTCGTCGACCGGCGAGCTTCTCCAGCAGAACGGACCGCTGCTGTGGCAGCCAGGGACCTTCCAGCCCGTCCAGAACAAATGGAGCTGGCACCGCCTCACCAATGTCGTCTGGGTCGACCAGCCGGTTGGGACGGGCTTCTCGCAGGGCACCCCCACGGCCACCAGCGAGGAGGACGTGGCCCAGCAGTTCCTCGGGTTCTGGCAGAACTTTGTCGACACCTTTGCCGTCCAGGGGTACAAGGTGTACGTGACGGGCTCGTCGTACGGCGGCATGTACGCGCCCTTCATCTCGAGCGCCATGCTCGACCGCAACGACGCGCGCTACTTCGACGTCTCGGGCATGGCCATCTGGGACGGCCTGTACTCCAAGATACCGCTGACCGAAGACATCCCCGTCGCCGCGTTCGTCGACAAGTTCAAGAGCGTCCTCCCCTTCAACGACACGTTCACGGCCGCCATCAAGGCCATCGACGCGCAGTGCGGCTACACGGCCTATCTCGACGAGTACCTCGTCTTCCCCCCGCGGGGCCCGCAACCATCCACTCTCCCGGGCGAGGACCCCGCCACCAACCTCGCCCGCCCGGAATGCGCTCTGTACCTGGCCGTGTTTCTGGCCGCGACGGAGCTCAACCCGTGCCTCAACAAGGCGTTCGACGTCACCTCCCACTGCCCTGTCCTGTTTGGTGAGTATCACCTCCCTACTTATACCACTCTTTGCTCTCTGTATGTAGTTGCAAAACTAACCACCCCCCCCCACCTACTAGACCCGATCGGCACCACCCTCCCCACGGCCTTCCCCACGCCCTACTTCGACCTCCCCGCCGTCAAGGCGGCCATCAACGCGCCCGCCAACACGACCTGGGTGTTCTGCCAAAACCCGTTCACCAACCCCGTTTTCGTCAACAACACCGACCGGTCCCTCAACGCCGGCCCGGGCAGCCAGCCCGTCCTGCCCGGCGTGATCGACAGGACGGGCAACGTCATCCTGGGCCACGGCGAGCGCGACTTCCTCGTCCTGCCCGACGCGACGCTCCTGACGATTCAGAACCTGACGTGGCGGGGGGTCTTGGGCTTCCAGCAGCGGCCCGAGGCGCCGCTGTTGATTCCGGCGGTGGACAATGCCAATGTCGGCACGGCGGCTGCGGGGTTCGGGGTGGTCGGGTCGAGCCATGCCGAGAGGGGGCTGACGTGGTTTGGGGCGGCCATGGCGGGGCATTTGGTCGCGCAGGATCAGCCGGCCGTGGCGTTTCGTATGGTTGAGGTGTTGTTGGGGCGGGTGGAGGGGTTTGAGAGTGTGGAGCCGTTTACGGTGGATATGGGGGGTGGTGATTCTTGAGGGCGGTCGGTGGGGAGGATGGCGAAGGAAAAGGGGACGGTTGAGGTTGGTGGGGGAGGGTATAGCTATACGGGTTGGCAGGAGATTGGGAATGGGGAGACTGGAGTTGGGGCTGTATAGAAGGACAACGGCTTCCGTCGGAAAGTCTTCCGAACAATGGCTTTTAAAGGGTCGAGGATGACTGTTTAGAAGGGCTGGTGTTGATAGAAGTTTTGTGCAAAGCGGATATTTTTAGAGTCGAGGCTGTGCTCCAGTCGAGACAACCTAGGCCACCTGCAGCCACGAGAGTGAAGAATTTCAGGTTACCTGGTAGGTTTCATCAGGCTGAGGCTTCAAGTTGTAGTCGGTTCTGATAAAAAAGTCGGAAGTGACCATCGGACGGAAGAGCAGCGAGCTCTCAGCTAAGAAGGCGCCAAACCCCAGTCGGTGGCCCGTGCTTGCAGGTCTTGGCTGCAGCAGCTGACGGCGACCCTGCAACCTCCTGCAACCTTTTGCAGTTTTAGGGAAGCTCCGGCGAACCGTCCTCAAAACTCCGCTGCAGAAACCATCACAGGATGCGTCTGTTATAAAATAAGCTCCAATCTGCGCCCGCCAGCTGTGGCCATGCCATTCGGTCCTCTCCCCGGATTCTGCACACACTCATTTTTGGTCTAGATTCCCTTCCCGCGCCCACGCCGTCGTCCTGATGCCGCCGGCGCTGCCCCTCATCCGGCACCTGGCTCGGGACGCCGTTAGCCGCGCCCGGTCGCGTGCTCCGTTACCCAGCCGGCTCCTCTCCGTGGCCCATACCCAGTTCCACCCATTACCCCAACAACAGTCCCACCTCAGGCCCCCCTCCTCCCGCACAATGGCCTCCCGCTGCTCCTCCTCCTCGTCCCCCTCCTCCTCCCGAGGCGGGCTCGAGAAGCTCCCCTCGTCCTCCATCCGCGTCCTCCGCACGATCGAGGCCCTCCGCCGCTGGCGCCGGCCGCACCTCCTCGACCAGCGCTCCGTGGGCCTGGTCCCGACCATGGGCGCGCTGCACGAGGGCCACCTCGCGCTGATCCGCGCCGCCGCCCGCGCGAACCACCACGTCGTCGTCTCGGTCTACGTCAACCCGGCCCAGTTCGGCGTGCGCGAGGACCTGGCCAGCTACCCCGTCACCTGGGACGCCGACGCCGCCGCGCTGGCCAGGCTCGACCGCGAGCTGGCGGACGACGGCCTGAACCTGGGCCGGATCAGTGCCGTGTTTGCGCCGACGACGGCCGCCATGTACCCCGCGGGGTTCCCGGGCCAGGAGGTGGATAGCCGGGGGAGTTTTGTGACGATTACGCCTGTCGGGGAGGTGCTGGAGGGCAAGACGCGGCCTACTTTTTTTCGGGGGGTGGCGACGGTGTGTATGAAGTTGTTTAATATTGTGCAGCCGGAGCGGGTGTATTTTGGCCAGAAGGACGTGCAGCAGACGGTGGTCATCAAGAGGCTGGTGGAGGACTTTATGCTCCCGATCGAGGTGGTTGTCGGGTCGACGACGCGCGCCGAGGACGGGCTCGCGCTGAGCTCGCGGAATGTGTATCTGGGCGAGAGGAGGAGGGCGGCGGCGACTGTGCTGTATAGTGCATTGAGGGCTGCCGAGGAGGCGTATAAGGGTGGTGGTGCGAGGGACCGCGCCGCGGTTCTCGGGGCGGCCGAGAGGGTAGTTGACGAGACGCTGGCGGAGCAGTCGGCCCTGGGACCCGAGAAGCGGGTGCGGTTTGAGGTCGACTACCTGTCGCTTGCCGATCCCGACACGATGGAGGAGCTGTCCGTCATTGACCCGGCGAGAGGAGGCATCCTCAGCGGTGCAGTGAAGATGCTGCCTGTGGAGGCCCCGCAAGAGGGCGAGGATCTCGGACATAGCGGGGGGCCAGCCGTCAGGTTGATTGACAATATCATCCTGCAGCCCGCCGAGTAGGGGGCACCGGTTCTGGTTGATCCCAACACCTTTGCATTGTTTGGCGTTTGGAGGCTTTGTCAACTTTAGCGCTCATATCCAGCGAGCCCATAGATGTGTTTGTTAGACGGAAGGGGTGGCATCAGCGCGGTGCCACCGGATGTCATGATATGTGTAGCCTACTTTGGTTCTTGGCGTGTCCTTACGAAGCCCCGAGGAGGGAAGTTGACTATCCTACTGCCCTCATAAAACTCGAGCTGGCCATACGGTGAGAGGAAGCGCTCTTCTGTTACGCACCCCTTAGTTTGTCACATATGCTGACCCGAGGCTGGGTCAGAGACGGATCATAAGCTGGTCATACTTCGCTATCTGATTCAACTATCATATATAGTATCTCTAGGTGTATGATGCCCTTGATTTACAGAGTAGAACC